AAGCTTCTAAAAACAAAAATGATTACTGTAATGAATTCAGAGATAAATCAAAATCCGAATATTTAGTACTCAATTTATTAAATACAGAAGTTCATACAAAAATGCGCGTAGTGCTAGAAGTTCGTTATAATATATAATAATAAGCAAGGAATATATATAACCATGAATGTGGGAAAGGAAGAGAGCGCCACGCTCTAGTAACTAAAACTTAAATGATAAAGATAACTAACATGAAATTTATAGCGTCTTTGCCGGGGAGGAAATATCACATTTCCTCCCCGGCAAAGACGCTATAAATTAAGCTTTTGAATCTGTTTGATTTTTCTTTTAGATCTACCGTTAACATTCGCCTTAATTTCTTCATTAATTTTTAACAATTTTGAATCTTTCTTTTTTTCCTGGCTTGCTTCTAAACTCTTTGACTCGGACACTTTACTATCTTGATTCATATTTCCTCTTCTTTACAAAATTTTTCTGCTTTAACGATAACGATCTGCCCGATATGTCTTTCCCAAACTAACTTTTCAGAGTCTAAGATCTCGCATAAATATGTTCTACTACCTAACTTTTTTTTACAACAGCCCTGCGCCATGTAGGCTTAGTAAGAATCTTGTAATCTTTAACATAAACTATGTCTCCTGATTCTATCCAAACTTGTCTATTCCCTTTAAAATATTGCACTTGCTTAATCCTAACCTTATCTCTTTCCTGATCACTTAATTTAATCTAATTCTTAATTCTCGTCCAAACATAAGTTTCACTTTCTTTTGGCTTTCTTCTACACTAGTATGCGGCGCATTTTTATATGAAGCCAAATATCTATCCATTAACGTAGTCATGCTTGATTCCGAATTACGCTTATCCGCAAGTGCCCGTAATAATCCTCCTCCCTTAAAACAATCTACTGCGTTTTCCGCCAACCCGTAGTTGATGATACGGAGCAGAAGTTTTTACTAATATCATTGTTTTTACAAAAATTTTCAAATTCTTCAGACACAAATTGCCTACCATTATCTGAAAAAAATTATATGTAGAATAATTATAACATAATGCAAAACATTCCCTTAATTTTTCAATAGTACAATCCGTACTCATATTAGACATTTCGAATACCTCTGGCCATTTAATAAATGCATCCACCAGAATTAAATACGTTTGCCTTTAAAAGGTCTACTAAAATCAATGTGGACTCTATCAAACGGAATTTCCGTTTCCTGAAACTTAATTAATGGTGACTTCTTAGGATTCCTAGCTACAACTCTACGAGTTTCACAATTTCTAACATAATTTTCTATGTCGTTATCAATTTTAGGCCACCAAAAATACTGCCTTGCTATTGCTTTCATTTTAATCATTCTTAAATGCGCTCCGTGAATCTCTCAACAATGCTTTTTTAAGCTGCTTGTAACAATTATTCTGTATCCCTACATAAGAATACCATTTTCAATACTGATTTCATTTGCTTTACTTGCGTAGATTTTTACTTCTTCTACTGACTTTAATCTTCATTTTTTTACTGATATCCTTCTCTTACACACAAATATATTTTACTTAGCATTTTATCTTTTCGCAATTCTTTTCTAATTTATGCTGCATATATATATATAGGTGTGCGTTCCGATGTAATAAAATAAAAGTAGTCCTCATTTTTAGCCTTTTCATTTGTTTCTTGGCAATCTGGCCAAGCCATCCGTACTTCATTTTTAATGTCCCTGATGTGTTCAAACTTATACTGAAATCCTTAAAAATAAAACCCATCTTTGCAGCCTACCCACTGCCATTTGCGGAATGCCTTTGTGTTTTCCGAATAATGTTACTAAAGGTTTATGATCAGAACATAAAATAAATTCATTATTTATTATTGATGGAAATTGCAAACCGCCCAATACTTCTTTGTGTATTAATAATAATTTTTTTCTGATTTATGACTTTAGAAGCAAAAGAAAGGATTTTCCGTATCAGATAAAACATGTAATGGCTCCAATGCCAATCTTAGATGCATCACAGACTAATTTTAATTTTTGTTAAAATTTTTGTTAAAATGTATTAACATTACTTTTCGATGCTAACTCTTTTTTCTTTTTAAAGGCTTCGTTACACTGTCGTTTAAATGTGTTATTGCGCTGGAGTTCATATAAGAGTGCTAATATCTGTGATGAATTTTACTTACCGTAACAGGTTAATGATAAAAGTCTTTTGACATATTCTTAGGTTTAGGTATTTCTAACATTGCTACCTTTTCTGGATTTATATAATCTATCCTTGTTAATAATATGTTCAAGATATTTAATTTCAGGAAAAATATTAATTTCTTAATGTTAATCTTAAACTCTGTTTTCGAAATGCATTTAAACACTTCTTTTAAATTTTTTAAATGTTCCTTATTTGCATCCGTAATTACAATATCATCGATAAAATTGATTACATTTTTCATACCCTGCAGAACTTTTCTCATCGTTCTTTGAAAAATCGCGCATGCCGGTTTGGTTCCAAAAGGTAACCTTTTGAGCAAATATATACTCTTATGTGTATTCTATGCTAAGAATTTACTGGTTTCTTCTGAAGCTTTTAATTGATTATATGCTGCCATTAAATCTAATTTAGTAAAAGACTCTCCACCGCTTAAAACTGCAAACACCTCTTCTATCCGCGGTAAAGGATAACATCTTCTAAATATATTTATTAACTGTAATTTTATAGTTCGTGCAAATTCCCGTCCTTCTTAACAATTGGTATTAAGGGTGACGTGTCAGTTAATTCTATTACTCTTTTTCTTTCTAATTCATCTAATTGTTCACTTACTTCATCTAAAAGTTAAAGATATTGGCCTCGGCTTTGACAAAAATTGGTTTAACTTCTTTAATTACTTTTAAATCTACCTTTTCAAATTTATATTTGCCTAACTGATCATCAAATAACTCTTTATAATCTTGCAGTAGCTCTTCTAAATTATTACTTTCTTTTATACAATGAAAGGATGTAATATTATTTTTTAATAATCTTATTAAAGCTCTATTAATCCATTAACATTCCCCATTAACATTCTGTTATCTCTTTTAACTATAATTAACAGACTTTTAACTATCATTCCGTTATATTTAATATTAATTTTAAATTTGTTTCTTTCTGGCACTATAATATCTCCATTATATATTTTTAGTCACCCTCGTACTTTCTAATTTACAATGACTAAATTTTCTTTAAAAAACTTTTCCATAATCGATTTATCTGCTCCAGTGTTCATATCTACCAGCTGACCTTCTTCTATTTTAACAATTAAAGGCTCTTCACTTGCCGCTGCACTACTCAAACTGTACATGTCTACAATCTCTTCTTCTTTTTTTTTCTGACTCTAAATAATTTGTGTTGGACACCGCATTTTTATTTCTACATATTTTAGTCAAATGACCTTCTTTACTGTATATCTTACATTTGTAAGTTCTATATTTACAAAAATATGCTTCGTACTCCACAGTGTACGCATTTTAGCTCATCCTAGGACTCTTGATGATGACTTCGTGTTTTAGTTCTTTTCTTCTTCTTTTTTGCTGTTTTTTGCTGAGTCGGTTTGACTTTTCCCGTCTTCAAACTGTGAACATCTGCTGGTCTTCGATGACGATGCCAAAACTGTTTCGTTCTTCCTAGCTACTTCTAAAATGGATTGTAAAGTAGCTGTATGCTCTTCTTCATATACTCTATCTCAAATTTTTCTTAATCTCGCTACGAATCTGTTTCTAATAGTGTCATCTACCAAACCTATCCTAACAGCGCAAACGTCGAGATATCGACTGCAAGTTGACTTTGCTAAGTCAGGCCTTTAAGTCGATTTTGCACAGACGTTCTTCCAATATCGTCTAGTGCGATTTATGCTAAAGCTTAAATATGGAATCATTTTGGCCTTGTTGTTTAACTATAATTAATAACAAGGATGAATGCTGTTCACGAGTATTGTGGGCATGAATCGAATCACAGTCTAGAATAGTTGACTTAAAGACTTACAGTCGTCTTTAAAGTGGGACATTGTATGACTTAGAGATGTCTCCAAATCATCTAAAGTTGACTTACGTCCATTTTTCAGACATCTAAAAGCTATAGTATATCGATTCAGAGTCAACTTAGAGTCAACTTTGTGCTGTTAGGATGCAGCTACTAGCTTTTGATTCGCGCAAACCACTTATTTACTGACTCCTCTGTTTGTCTCAGCTCGTAACATTCAATTTTTTCTTTGAATACCGATACTCTCGGTGCGAACTGCTTCTTTAAAATTTCACATAAATCATTATATGATTTATCTTCTGATAATATAAATCGGATCACAGAAGTCTTTCGATATTTTGTAAACTTCCTGTCCTACTAACGTGATCAGCATTGCTACTTTTCTTTTTTCTAATATCTGGTTTGCAACAAAATATTCCTAAACATTCTTGATACAATTCCAGTTTTTTTCTTGTCGTTGTCATTCGACATTTCTAATCTTCAATTGTTTTTGCCTTGATGCTTCAGTACCGCTAGTTCCTTCTTTGCCCTGATCCTCATTGCTAATTTGTAATGGATTTGGAGATGAATTGAGATTCGAGTACTTAGTCCTCAATTTATTAAATACAGAAGCTCATATAAAAAGCGCATGCAGTAATAGAAGTTCGTTATAATATGTTATAATATATAACGATATGCAAGAAATATATATAATCATGAACATGCTGGGGAAGGAAGACAGCGTCATGCTCTAGTAACTAAAACTCAAATGACAAAAATAACTAACATGAAATATCACAATTACAAAATTTTTTATAAATTATTTGTAGGTACATAATCCAGTTGGGATAAATTTCGGTGTACAGAATGCAAACGTTCAAAAGACAAATTTTGTTTATAGAAACATCAGTGATTCATTGG